GGTTCCCTAAAAAATTTTAGCCTATTCTGTTTAGCTGTTTCGCCAGCTATAACTAATTCATACCAACATAAATATATATGAGCGAAGAGCTTTATTATATTGACTACCTAAAGTGGCCGTGGAATTTAAAAAATATATATTTTTTTAAATCGAATTAAAAAAATAGTTCAATATTTTAGCCTATGATACCCCCTGGTACACATGGGTTCCTTTAAAAAATACAGCCAATTTGAGCCGTTTTGCCAGCTATAGCTAACATATATACGTACTAATATAAATATATATATGAGGGAAGAACTTTATTATATAATAGCTGAAGGGCCCGGCGTAGCCCCCCTCATCGCAATTCCTTGATTTACATAATCCTTTCAAGACTTCTTCCTTCCTTGTTCTCTTCTTGGAAGTATTTAATATTTTAGATCATTCTACTTCACGTAGAAAATAAATTGAAGGGGAGGGGTTAAAAAAAATAACAAAAATTGTAAACAAAGCTCGGAATTTTATAAAAAAAAGGTTCTTAAGCTGTAAGCGTAATTTAAGATGACCCTCCATCCCTATTTACAACGGCTGTCTTACGGTCAAGTGTGAATAAGATATCAATGTTTATAATTTCGAAAACTGAATTTTCAATTGGGGTTTCTTCTACACAAGGTATACTTGCGAATTTCCACTGAAGAAAAACGTAGAGAAACTATAAGAACTAAGAAACCTAGAAAAATATCTCAGGACAGGAATGTTTTTGATCAGCAATAATCAAATAGAAAAATAATGATATAGTAATTATTTTACTATGTAAATACAAGTATTCATCTGTACATACATTCAACGAAGGGAATATTTTTAATCATATTTTATTATACCAAAAATCCTGGAAACCAGGATAGAACTATAGGATTAGTACAGAATATTGCAGTTGTGATGGATTTTATATAAATTTTAAACTTTATTTTTTATGTCCAATTAAAGTCCATATATAGTTAGTTGTGAAAGTAAAAAGAGATCTGTTAAATCAAGAATAAAACTAAAAAAGATGATTTAATTGTAGAAAACATCCTTTGATAAATTTTTATGCCAAAATTAAAGAAATTACTTATATATTTTTTTTTAATATTTGAACGTGTCGGAACTGTTCCTCTATAAAACAATCTGATATTATTATGCTGTATAGGTGCTAAGTATGGACGGGAACTATATCAAGGAGCTGGGAAAGGACGCCTTTGCCTCTGCAGGCCTGATCAATCTTCAGAAAATCTCGATGAAGAACTGCCAGATCCAGAGGATTCACGAGGACGCATTCTCCAAGCTCAACATCCTCACGGAGGTTAATCTAGGTAAGATTAAAATTGCGGGTTTTTTAGAAATTAAATTGCGAAATTTTTCTGACACAAATTTGCGCAATTTTTTCTTTTAATGTCTGTATAAATTGCTTATGTTTGCCTATTATTGTTTAAATGAATGTTGCTGATGTTGCTAAAGTGGATTAAACTAATATTAAACTAATACCCTAAGGAGTATTCTATAAACTGCTGATATTTTCTTGTTGAGAACAATTGTAAATGTTTACAACAAGTCTACCCTAGTAAATAAAGCAGTAGGTCAAGTGATCCTTTACTCATAGAAAGCCATGTCCTAAATGCTTCGGATGATCAAGAATGCAAGAGATATCCATGCTTATATCATTTCAAATTGATCATTTTCCATTGTGGCCTGGGCAATTCTTAAATCCTATCAGAAGATTTTTTTGCCCTCCATGATAATTTAGGATTTGAAATTAAATCTGAAATCCTTTATTTCAGATACTTATTTTTTTTTTTGCAAAATTCACTTTAGTTTAAATGAAGTGTGTTAGTTTAATATTGTCAAAAGCAGTTTTTTTAAAAGTACTGCCATGATCTAGCCTGAAAATAACATCTTCTTTTGTTCTGTAAAGATTCAATTCCCGAAATATATAACTTCCTGGGGTCTCACAATCTTCTACCAAATTGAATATTAGAAAGACCATTTAGAACATTATTACATTTTCCTAGTTACACGACCAGACATGTAATATGTAAAAATATTTTTTCACTTTCGGTTGTTATCAATTCCTCATGCTAATGTTGCTGATTTTTTTATATTGCGGTGATAAAATATACACCCGCCGGACTGTTCCGTTCAAATTTTCTTCAAATGATAAACATATTCTCAATAAAAAGTATGACGACATTTCATCTATTACACTTTTTTTGAGCATTATTAAATTTTTCATTAATGTTTGGAAATTGTACAACTGAATCAACATTTTTATTTTGCAAGTTTTGTGAGGGTATACAGATTTAAAAGTTTAAAACTAGTTGGATCAAATTTGTCAAGTTAAGAATTGATAATCTGTCCACTTCATCAGGGATATCTTTTTAACTAAAATTCTGTCCCCTCCCCCTCCCTCCTTCTTCTGTAATATAAGAAGATATGAGTGACAAAATTAATTAAAATTTAAATTTCTTTAAATTGTTATTTCAATATTACTAATCGTTACACAGACTTTTTTTAGCTAGAGTTAAAATAAAATGGCGAAGCCCAGTCTTGTACATTAACGAAATAGCGAAGTAAAAAAAGAGTAACAAAACTTTTACAAGGGTCATGGGTCAAATGTACTTAGCACTACCAGAGGGTGCAGGTGCTTCGTTTTTGTTTTATTCAGAAGTAAACTCAGATTTGTTAAGGACGGAACGGTTTTTAACAGTTATTTTGTGTTTAGAGGGAAATAATCTGACGAAAATCCCGCAGAAGACCTTCGACGGGAACAACAGGCTGCAGACCATCATCTTGGCCAGGAACCAGCTCGAGTACCTTAAGGTAAATATTTGGTTAGGAATTTACCCCCTCCTCTTAAATATTTACGAGGGTGATCAAGGCTTTCAAAAATGGGGTAAATTTCATAAACCTTGATGATGATTGTTGAATAAGATATATATCCCCTGTATTTTCAAATTTCATGTGAGAAAATTTAAATATATATTTATCAAACGCGGACAAAAATTATTTTTGATTAAATGAAAACTATTATTATGTTCAGGAATACCAATTTCCCCCTCTACCTAATCTGAAGAAGATTGATTTATCGAGAACAGGTAACTCCGGCAAATGGTTATTTGTTGTTCGGGCAAACGGTCAGGTCATTTGTTGTTTGGACAACGGTCATATCTTTTTTTGTTCGGGAAACTGTCAAATCGGGCATTGAATGTTATGAAAAAAAATTATTTTAAAAAAACCCCAGCCTTCTGGTGTTTTTGTATAGTTCGTTTTTTTTGCTTTTCTAATTTTTTCAAGTTTAAAATTAACTTTTGGATCAAATCTAACATCTGGAATCTGCAGTGTTCATTTGTCAAGGATTAAATTCTTTAAACGGATCTTAAAAAGTCAACCTAATCAGATACATTGCAGCATAATAAAATTATAAGTCATGTTGAATTAAGCAATAACCAAGTCATTTATTTTAACTTAAAAGTTCATATTATGCGTGGACTCATAAAAATGAACGTGTTGGGGACTCATAAAAATAAATGGCCCCGATCTGATTAGCATAATGGCTGCATGGAAGGGGAATAATTGAAAACATTCAAACAATAGAAATGTATATTTAATGAAAAAGTAAAATTAAAAATACTAATCAACCTTTAAAAAAATAAACTTTTAAAACATTTTACTAGTTTAAACTAAATATTAAGAGCAAGTCTAAAAATTCTTCCAGATGTAAATTAATTATTCATCAAGTTGGTAAACATCCATCCATGTTATATTCATGTTATGTATACGTTTAAATGAAAATAAATTGAAAATTTCTTGAACTTCTTTTACCTTAGCTCAATCTTTATTTTTGAGGTTCGATATTTTGAAAATACAAATTGCTAAAAACTAATTTTACCCTAAAATTCTTCAAAACTGTTTAAAAATCCACAAAAAACCATGAATTTTTTGTAAAATTATTTTGGCCCACTTTTTCCTCCTAAAAATTTGTTTCTTTGTTGCATTTTCAAAGATTAACATTATTGTAAAAATACCCTATTCCCCTCCCCTAAAACAAATAGATGAAAAAAATGTATGAAACAGGTTATAATGATAGTACACAAGTTTAATTAAACCGTTATTACTATTAATAAAAGCGTAATCAATTTTCTTTATTAATTTAAGGAAAAGTTTAATAAAAATGTTATTTACAATAAAGAAACATAAAAGTAAACAAGTTAATTGATATTACATTACCTTTTACAATAATTATCAAATTTTCTGTAAAAAAGCAATATTTTAACGCAGTATTTTCAGTTGTTAGTTAAGTAAACCTTTATATATTTTATAATTGTTTATTTTACTTTTTATCGTTATTTTTTGTTAGACTCTTGTTTTTTTTTAGGTTTAAGAGAAATGAGTCAGAAAGCTTTTAACAATTTAGCTCAGAGTGTAGAAGAGATAGATCTCAGGAATATACATTCATCAATCATTCATCATTCATCATTCATTTATTGAATTATTCATCTATCATTTCATTCAACTTTCATTTCGTCATTTAAGTCATCATTTATTTAGTATCATTTGTCATTCATTCATTGTTCATTTATCATTCATTTGTCATTTCATTCATCCGTCATTTATTTTTTAACTATTAATATCTCTGCAGTTAGTTTACTCCTCTACCTAGTTAATTACTCTGCAGTTAGTTTACTCCTCAACCATGTTAATTACTCTGCAGTTAGTTTACTCCTCTACCATGTTAATAACTCTGCAGTTAGTTTACTCCTCTACCATGTTAATTACTCTGCAGTTAGTTTACTCCTGTACCTAGTTAATTACTCTGCAGTTAGTTTACTCCTCTGCCTAGTTAACTACTCTACAGTTAGTTTACTCCTCTACCTAGTTGATTACTCTGCAGTTAGTATACTCCTACTATGTTAATTACTCAACAGTTAGTTTACGTCTCTACCATGTTAATTACTCTGCAGTTAGTTTACTTCTCTACCATGTTAATTACTCTGCAGTTAGTTTACTTCTCTACCATTTTAATTACTCTGCAGTTATTTTACTCCTCTACCATTACTCTGCAGTTAGTCTACTCCTCTACCATGTTAATTACTCTGCAGTTAGTTAACTTCCCTACCATGTTAATGACTCTGCAGTTAGATTACTTCTCTACCATGTTAATTACTCTGCAGTTAGTTTACTTCTCTACCATGTTAATTACTCTGCAGTTAGTTGTGTATATTTCATGAATAAAAACATTCCCCCTTGGTACTAATTTTTTTCCCCCAGATTTTTTCTCTGGATCAGGGCAAATAAATGATTTTCATGGTAAATAAACGTATTTGTGCGATAAAACTTGCCTTAAAATATCTATTTTTTTTATTTTTTTTTTCTCCAATTTAACAGAAATCATTTCATCCTTTAGCTTCCTGGGGGGGTGGGGGTAATTCTTAAAGTTTTACACCCCCTACTTGTAGTCTTCTAGTATAGTATTTTTAAATGTGTATTGTGAGAGTTTTCTCTCAATAAATCCTGTTTTTATCCTTCAAATCTTATCATAATTCAAGGGAAATATATAGATGTTGTTGTTTTTTCTTTTCCACACTCTGATTCAATCTTTAGTTTATCCCACTAGGATATCAAAAAACGGAATAAATGTGCTAAACTCATTTGCTCGTCTTCAAGTTCAACCCATCTTGCATTTGGCTATTAGAGAGATCAGTTACACAAACGTGATTTGATACCATTGAGTTTTTTAGGATCTTTAATTTGTTTGGAATATTATCGGAACAAAAATTCATAGAACTTATTTTTCAACTAAATCTAATGAATGTGTATATCTGTAGTGGTAATCAACTGAAGAGTATAGTAGAAACAACCTTTCTTCCACTACCGAGCTTGAAGGTAATAAATTTATTTAGTCTAGTAAGACGCATTATCAACATTATTTATTATTGTGAGCTTTTTGTTCTAGTAAGGAGAGTTAATTGTGAATTGAGAAAAGACGGTATTAAATTTGTTTTAATAAAAATGGGATTAGAAAAATCAGTGTTTCGGATCCGGATCCGGATCCGAATCAAAATGATATGGATCCGAAACACTGCGAAAAATTACTGATTTTGACCTACTAGTGACAATAAGGTGGTTTCAGGTCTATGAACTTTTAAAAACTATCGTCTTTTTAAATATCATTTATTGAAAAATTGTTTTTTTAAAACGGTCGGTTTCACAAACGATAGTTTTTCGTTTTTTGAAAATCATTTTTTAAGAAACGATAGTTTTCAAAAACTATTATTATGCGTTTTTTGAAAGTTCAAAACGAGTGGTTCGTTGTTTGTGAAGTGTTAAGTTCTTTTCGAGTTATTTCTATGCTAATTCTTAAAGCTCTTAATTTTTGGATCAATACACACGAAAAAACATCAGAATAACAACTGGTTTAGAGAGAGAACTGAGTTTCCAACGTTTAAATCTCTAGTCCTTTGTATTGTTCTCGAGTAATCATGGGAAATTATGAAAATTTGTATCCCACTTTTGAAACCTTCCTCTCCTCTAACAATTAAACTGTATAAAATAAAATGGTACTCTGTACGAGCTTTAATATTTTTATTTTCAGTTTTTCAAATTTTGAATTAAAATTCCCCAAGATTACAAATGTCTTCACCGTAAATCCTTTTTTCTAATATATTTCACTTTACTTTTGACTTTTTAAAATCTAGCTAAGCCAGGTCAGCCTATGCCTACAGTTTTTGAATGCAAGTATTTATTTATTCATGGCTTTTAGGGCGTTTACCCCCCTTTTCTTTTAACAATTTTAGCTGTTAAATGTTGTTCTGATAGTGGCTATTCTAAATTTTTTTTTATAAATATTTAACAATTTTTGAGGATTTGTTCAAAGTAAGTTGGTGCAATTTAAAAAATAATAATTGTCAACATTTTTTCTTCTCAAAAGCTCTTCAATTTAATGAGTTATGATAAAAACCAAATTACTTCAGTTTGACGTGGCCTACATCTTTTTTCAAGAATTATTACCCCTTCCTATAAAACCCTTTCCCCCCCCCCATCCCCCTCCTCCTACCATCCAATCTTGTTTCCTAATTCATTTTNGAACATACTTACAGGGGGGTATATTTTGCAACCCTCCCCCTCGTCAATTTTTTTTTCTCCAAAATATAGAAACAAACCTATGTTAAAATTGAGAAATGCAATAAAACAAAATTAAATGTAAAGCTGACAACAAAATTTAAAAGACTAAGTCCCATTGCTTAACCCCTATGCTTTGAAAATCATTCTTTAAAAAAAAAAGATAAAATCCGTGCTTTAGCAAACTCACACCCGAACACTCAATTTTGGCCAGATAAGTTTGGTATTCTGGTTCTTATGACTTTCAATCAGAGCAAAGTAGAGAAGATTGCAAAAAAGGACATTTATTCCAAGATATGGACTTCTATCATAATATTTCATGGCATTTACAAATCTTGATTTGGCTCTAGGCAAACCATGCTGTGGGTGTATATTTTCTTTCCCCCCCCTCTACCTAGTTAATTACTCTACAGTTAGTTTACTCCTCTGCCTAGTTAATTACTCTGTGCAGAAAAGCCAGGGATATATATTTTCTTAAGACGTACGACGCAATTTCAAACGACTTATATTGAAATTTTTTCATTGTTTTTGTTTTATTATTAAAGAAAAAAAATAAAACTTTATTTTTGAATGAATAAGATCAGATATAATTTCAATTTTTTAAAAAAAGATTATTGTTTTTCTCTTGTAAACAGTATTTATTATATTCTTTATTTTTTATATTATTTTACAAATATATTTTTAGTGAATTATAAACTACGTTTCTCTCTAATAAACTAATTAATCCAGGGTAAACAGTTATAAAACCTGCTTGTAATTACTCTTGTCATTAAGGTTTATAGGTTTAGTAGGTTTTTTTTCTAATTACAGAAAATTATTACATTTTACACTGCAGAGGTGTATAATGTATATTTTCTTGGTCATTTTTCTCCCCAGAAGGTTTGATAAATCAGGTGTTTCGCTGAATTAATGAAAATAGATGATTTTCAGGGTGAAATTAATTAAAATTTTGGGTAAAAAGTGGGAAAAAATGAAAATTTGCCTTTTGATGGCCAATTTTTTTATTTTTTTCCACTCAGATCTTATAAATTTAAATCTTTAAGATAAAGTTCATAATAATTTCAAAATAAAAAAGAGTTTCTGGATATTGGGGGAACTGGTGGGTAACATTTGTGAGTTTCTCTCCGTTTTCTGTTATGTCTAAAAAAAACTGCCAAATCATGGGAGGACAGATATCAGATTAAAGCTATATTAACCGTATATTTATTAAAAGTTTAACATAACTACGAAAAATTCTTTAAATATACACCCCTGAAACCATGTTTGTCTCGTGTATAATTTTTTAAGTCTTGTCAAATTTTTAAATTGTGGTTTCAAAGCACACCTTCCGTTCCCACTAATAGGCCAATTATATCTCTTTTTCGTAATATCACGTCTTTACCAAATTTAAATATTTTTTCGAATATTCTGGTATTATGACCTAAATTATTTTAATAAAAATAGTTTTTTTTGCAACAAATTCAATAGTTAATGTTTGCAAAATAAAAAAACTGCCCTATTAAAGTGTACTCTATGGTCCAATTATATTTCATTTTTGTAATTTCACGTCTTTGAATAGATCATAAATGAAATTTTGTCTTCTATTTTAGAATTGCATATTTACTAAAAGAAACTTACCTTCGTGTGGGGGAGGGGGGGGGGTTCATTATTTGTGATTAGAAATGGGCATAGTTTAGGAATATTTCATACCTTTTCTCAAGAATCTTAGATGAGTATAATTTTTCAAAATTTTATTCTGAATTATTTAACATCAATTACTTTGATGTGGTAGATTTTACTTTGACAAAAGCTGGGTCACCAAACTAGTTTCTTAAATCAATTATTTCAGATTGAAAAAGAGATTTATAGAGGCCATGAATTTTGGAATAAAATACAATTTTCAGATTTTCATAAGTTAGAAGAAGTTGGAATGTTTCAAAAATAAAAACTAAACAAAAATGATGCATATTGCACATCTCTATCCTTTGTATGGAAACTATCCCAAACTTTGAAGGATTTTGGTTTGAATAATACTCTGAATAGGAAGCAACAAATCAGAGGGTTTAGACCAACATTTTAGGGATTTAAAGGGACTTGGCAACGTAATTTATAGTAATCCTCTGATTTAAGACTTACATACGTAATACACAACAGAACCTTTGAACCATATTGTGAGCAAAATGGTTATAAACAAGATTAAAAACTACGATATCTTCCTCATTTTGCTCAGATAAAGGCTTAAAGGTTATGTTTTGTTATGGGGTATGCAAACATTAAATACGTTGACAGTCCCTTAAATAACAAATCAGATGGTTTAACCCAATTCCCCACATTTAAATTGGTTTAAACCAATATTTCAGAGTTTAATGTTTACGTACTAAAGGTTAAGCACGACTAAGGATTAGTTCTGCTAAATAAAAACATGAATGTCAAATTTTAAAAGTAAATCCAAACAAAAACTGCTTAAACCTGGTTTACGATGGAATCACTTTAAAGGGGGGAGGGAGGGAAGGGGAAGAAAGGGATATTGGCCAATAAATCTGTCTACTTACTTTCTAGAAAGAAAACCTTAAAATTGGGTTGATATTAGATATTTCTTTCTACGTTCATCTAATATTTTGGCAGCAGACGGATTCCTCACAAAAGATTCATTGTCATCGTGGATTGATTGTATTTTGATGAAACTGCCGCTGAAGATTCCTTATTATGAGGGTGGGGAGGCAAATTTTCTTACCTTGAGAGTGGGAAAGCACGTTATTTTATAGCTTTTTGCTATAAATAAAAACAAATGACAAAAAAGTTGGGTGACTGGGTGGCCAAATTTCATGTCGTTAAGGACGGTCGGGGGCGACATTTTCAAAAAGTTTGAGCTTATAGTGAACACAATCAAATCACAGATATGAAGTATTAATAATATATAAGGTGGCCGAAATGTACGACTGTACGGATTTTTTTCAAATTGTACGGTTTTTTAGCCTGGAAATATTTTTTGACTCATTTCAGCAAACTTTGCTAATTCTATTTTACTTGTTTCTCCTCTCATTCTCATCCTAATTTACTTGTTTCTCCTCTACTTGTATAATGTATATATATGTATGAAGGTAAATTTTTGCAGATTGATTTAAAAGCAATGTAAAGACTGCACCTGCTTAAGAAGTTTAACCCTCACACATGAAAACAAAGGACATTAAATGAACAAATGAAGAAGAAAAATAGAATTTTGATGTGTTTTTTCAAAAATTGTTTATTTTTCTACGGATTTTTTTAAAATGTAGGGATAGTACGGATTTTTACCCCAAGAATGTACTGATTGTACAGATTTGTTCTGAAAATGTACGGATTTTTGTACGAAGGATTTTTTCAAAACATTTTTGGCCACCTTGACTATATTATTTTCCTTGAACTTGTTTTAAACCGGTTTCTGATAATGATCTTATCTAGCCTTTGCATCTTAAATGTACAAGTAGTTTTTGGGTTCAAACATCAATTCTCTCTTGCAAACAGCATAATTAATGGTAATAGGAGGAGGTGGGGTTAGCAGGAAACTAAAGTTTTAAAGGGACTTTAAAATAACCCTCGATGCATGGATGAAAATTTGTCCATTGAAATCTTAATTTGGTCAAAAATGAGGAAGATACTGGATCGCTCTTTTTTGACTCAAAGTGTTTAATTCTGATAATTTCTTGATTGCCCCATACCAGCAAGAAATGCGCTAGTCACTTTAGCAGAGAAACTGCAAATTAAATTAACTGTCCAAATAAACGGAAACTTGGATATATAATTTAAACTTGATCAGACAGTTTAAGTAAAAATTCGGCATTGCTAATTGCCATCTTTCCATTGAGGGTCAATTTAAATTCCACCAACAGTCCCTTAAACATTCTTTTTTTCAGACGCTGCGGCTCCATGATAATCCCTGGGTCTGTGATTGTCAGCTCAAAAGTTTTAGAGACTACGCTGTTCACAGGTCAGTAATAAAATGGATTTAAGTGGCAATGTTTTAAAAATGGACAAAAAGAAGATTAGGAACGTTTTTTTAAAAAAAGCAGAAAACAGGGAGAAAATCGGAAAGGAACATTCAAAAAAGAAATAGTTTTTGCTGGGGGAATATTTTTTTGGAAGAAATCATCCTTTCCCCCCCTTCTTGGAAAATTGTTTTCCTCCTGATGTTAACTTAGGGATTTCTTCGCTGAATTGGGAAAATAAACGATTTTTATGGGGTTAAAAATGATTTCGGGTAAAACTTAAAAAAATTATCATAAAGACTTCCCTAATAATGTCCAATTTTGCAGGTTTTCCTTACTTCATCTAGAATTATTTACCCCCATCCCCGGGCATTGGAAATTTCGCATGCAGGGTTACATGGAATTACGTTTAAGGGGGCAGGGGAAGGAAAAAGGACCAGGCTAACTTATTACAAATAATTTGTTTACTTTATTATTGTTTGTATCTATAAACTAGTTTCTAACTTGTATAAACTATTTCTCTTCCCAAACTTAATTTTACTACATTATAAATACACTATCTCCAAGGACAGGGCACGTTTTTTCATTTCGTTTAAAATACACTATCTCCTAGGACTGAGCACGTTTTTACATTCATTAACTTTTTTAATATTGTCTATTGTCCATTTTATAAATATCTATCTATCTATTTTAGCACCTGTCAATTCAACCCTGAAAGGGAAGGTTTTGTTACGTTTTAAAGATTGTAATTTTGAGAGGAAATTTTTTTTTTAATTCACTTTTTATTAATATTTTTTTTACTTTGTTTTGTTCTCTTATTCTATTTGTCAACTTATCTACTTATTTATCGATCTACTTAAATGTTTTCCATCTATCTATCTATCTATCCATCTATCTTTCTATCTATCTAACTACATACCTATCTATGTAGGAACCCCTAAAAAAAACCGAGAAAGAAAGATTTTTTTTGCGTTTTAAAGATATTATTTTGGGGATGGGAATATTTTAAAATTTACTAGAAATTATATTTTTTTATGTAACTTATTAATCTCTAACTCGTGTTTCCTTTTTTCTATCATATTAACTAATTGTTTATCTATTCATCTATCTATCTAACATCTATCTATCTATCTATCTAGGAACCTGAATAACCCTGAGCCTAAATGTTTTGAACCGGACAGGCTGGCAGATAAAACCTGGACGGATGTTAAATCCCTAGAGTTTGCCTGTAAACCAACTATCAAGGTATGAACTTATCAATTTTTGCAAAAACCTGTGTAAAATACGACTGTTGACCTCTTCAGTTTTAATGCCACTACCCCTATAATTCAATGCTTATTTATTTTTCACATTTACGTCAAAGGTTATTTTTCCAAACACCAGAAATTTGTTGCAATTAACTTTTTTATTTTAATAATTTTTGAAACTTTTGTGAATCTTGGGATGAAGCATTGATCTCCATCTTAAGCAGACCTAAGGATTTATTAAATCACTCTTCGATATCTCGTGGTGCCCACATTGGATATCGAGATACTGAAGTTCCGATCACTTGCCTCTAACTCTAATTTCCTTTTACCTATATCTATGTAGCCCGATATTTCAAACTTAGACCAATTGATCTAGCAATATTTGTATTTATATATATTTCTACGACACATGTTGCAAAGATAAAAGGATTTGAGTTTGTGGCGAATTACTTTCTGATTTATGTAAACCTGTAAAGTAAATGTACATGTGCTCAGTATATTCCACCATTTTCTTTCAACCAAGTTTCCAAAATTTAATTTTGTTCAAGAATCCTGGATTTCGGAAACTTTTTTAATATCCTCTATCGATTAAAATATCTCTGTAAAGTTTTTATTTGTGCACATAACAAAGTTAGGTTATATTTGAACCAAACACTACAAAAAATCAACCGAGTTTTTGCCACAAGCACAAATTTTCTATTCCCCATATCTTAACAACCTGATGGTAAATACCTATAATATTTCAAACTTGGATTAAGTAGAATTTATTAGTTTGAAATATCAAAGGTCTACTAAATAGGGTCTAATTTATTTATTTATCTATTTTACTTAATAATGTATCCAATTATTTGTGTTGGAATTCATATTTATTTATTTATATTTATTTATTTATTTATTTATTTATTTCATATATTTATATCTTCAATTACAATTTGACAACCGTACAAAGTGGACACTTACAGTTTCTTTATATTTTCTACACATTCCTTACGAATAGTTTATTCCCTGAGGGCATATTTTTTTCTTACATTTTCCCAGAGGGAGGGGGGGGGGTTATTCGGGAGACTTAATCTTTTATCCCCGACTGATAACCGGAGTTGCATATGTTTTGGAAATTTTGTTTAAAAAAAAGATTTCCACAAAATGTCAAAAAACGTATGAAAATTGGTTTCAGTTGTATATTTTACATATTTTTTTTTTTTAAACTGCACAAATATTATTTGCTTCGCTTTTGTGCTTATTATTTTAAATTTGTGTTATATAACATTTTATTTGCTTGTCTAGTCTGTCTGAAGCGATTGTTCAAACTAAATAAAAAACACATTGTTTTGGTTTCCAGCCCTGATATTTGTTCTTGCTCTGGTTTGTTTTATCATTGTAAAGTGTAGCCCTGGGAAACAAGAGAACTGTGCAATTCTTTATTTATCTCAAATATTGCGAATTTATACCCTCATTTTTGCACAGTTTAGAATCCAATTTTGCAACCATGGGGCCGAGAGGATCTAGGCTTGCATAACAATGTTGTAAAACTGGTTTTATGAATATTTTGGGATAAAGTTGTCAAATTTTAGACAATCACCGAACCACAGCTAAAAACCCAGGAAAGACAATTAAAAACAAAAATAAAAAACCTATAACAAAAAAATCTAATTTTTTGAAATTCACTATTACTTGCTTACATACAAGAACTTCATTTTTTAAAACACAATGGTCATAGCTGTAACAAATAATTAAAAGAAAAGTTAAAATCGTATAATTTGTACAGCAATCAAATTTAGAAAGTACACAAATAACCCCTTTTTAACCTTGAAATCAGCTTTTATATCTTTCAAGCATTTATTTATTTTTCCACTGTTTCAAGTTCACAGTTTTCCCTGATTTAACAAAGGAGTCTTTTGTTTTTATATTACCTCGTAATCAGAGCTTCATAATAGAGGCCATGGGCATTGGACAATACTTAAGTTTGTTTTACAAAAAAAACTTTTAAACATGTTTGGACTTAAAATACGATCGACAAATATCTGCAAGTTTTTCATATTTCAAAATTGTTCTTTTTAAACATTTGCTTTCCTCACAATTGCCAAATTTTAACCCCTGAAACAAGAAATTTGCAAAAACGAACAAAACATTTTTTTTTATTTGGTTCGTTTTTTATTTTCTATCCGGGTTTAAAACATTGCACAGTTTACAGAAAACAGAGAAATTTTAAAGGTTTATTTACTGTAATTAGATAAATGGATTAGTAGAAATAAGCCAGCACTGGGGCTGGAAATCATAATTGCAAGGGATCCTCCATGCATCCTCTGATCAAGTATGACTTTTATATCAATGTTTACTAGTTTGAAATAAGATTATTCACCCCAAAAAAGGCACTTACAACCTAAAAACGACAAATTTGGATTTCAAATCCCTTAACGCGCAAAAATAAAATATCGATGACTCGAAAAGCTATAAATTTATAGATCTGTGTTTCTGTATTTGGTTGAAAGGTTGGGCTCTGGAGAAGATGGATGGCTGGTTTTATTCCGTGTTTACTGCAGAGATTACCTAAACTGGTTTTTGTAGTACGTTTCTGCGCACTTTTTGCACTGCTTTCATTAGGGGGCCGGGTTAGGAAAGGAGTCTACTTTGGAATTCTAGCATTCATCTGTATTAGGAATACAGATAAATCAACATTTGTTTGTTTAATCTTTAAATCTTCCAAGGCACTGTAGGATCAAGGATGGATGAGATATCCTTTTTTGGCTAAAAATTGATTATTTTCTGTCATGGTTTTTTATAATTAAAAGATGAAAATTATCAAAAATGAACACTTATGATGTGTCTGTAAATGACGAAATCCTCTTTTCTTCAGAATGAGGTTTACGGGTCATTTTAAATTAAGACTTAAACATCACTTTTTTAAGGACAACTTTCTAAATATTCACAGTGAAATTTTGTTTGAAACATTTCCTAAATCCTTTAAATTCTCGCCTCTTGAAGCGAGTACACACAAAGAATATTAATACGTCGACAGTATAAAGTATGTTCTACTTGATATAAAGATGAATGATGTTTTTTCAATTTAAACTAAATATTCAATTTTTTTGTTTACTTTTGTTTAGAATAGAGCCGGGTTATATTCTTTTAAAAACGCGAGGTTTTATTAATTGTACAATTTCTATGGTTCACGCTTCTTTTGACTATTTAAAATCATAATTTGCGTCGTATTCCTTTTTCCACATTTTTATGGTTCCCACTGTACACATTAATGTTGTGTATATGTTTATTAAAAGGATGTACTTAAGAGAACGGTACAACGTACATGTAATGTTTAAGGGTACTCTAGAATACTGTACGTACAAAATCTTGGTCTACACTCTACAACAGAGCACTGTACATTTAATATCTAGGTGTACAACAGATTACTGTACGTGTAATATCTAGATGTACTACTGAGTATTGCACAATAAATGTGATATCTGGTTTACTGATTACTTATGTACTGTTTATATATTATCTAGGTTTTACTTCAGAGTACCGTAAGTGTAATACTGTGCGACGTACAAACTATATCCAGGTGTACAACACAGTACTGTACATGTAATATTTAGGTATACAACCGACGTGTGTATGCTCAGTCTGGTTGGAATGTAACCCTGACCTGCCATATTACTGGAAACCCTGTACCGAGTACTAGGTAAGATCTCGCAAACTGAACCAAAGTTTCTGTGTATTTGCTATTTTATCTTTATTGACCTTTTTTGGACATTCTGATTTACCCAATAGTCTTTCCCTTCTACATTGTTTACAATAACGCACAGTATTCAATATTTTTGACATTATTTTAACTTATTTGACATTTTTTGCTGAACTTTTAATATTATTTGAAAACTAGCTGGGAACCCAGCTTTGTCTGGCTACTGAACTTCTTTTACTTACTCAATTTAGCATTTTTAAACTAACCTATGAAGAATTCCGTGGCTCAACCAAGTTCACTAATCAAATTTGAGGCAAATCGGTCAATGAGTTCCTGAAAAAAAATCAGACATACAAACTTATTTTACTACTTTATTTATGTTGAATGTAGATGTTACCAAAACAGACTTGTTGATGAAGGCTTCGTCAATACGAACTGAGTTACCTTATTTGACCGTATAGTTTGTTTGATTGTAGTTGGTCGTTTTTGACCTTTTTGGTTTGAACTTACCTCTAATTGAACTTTTTTGACCTTGATTGACCTTGATTGACCTTGATTGACCTTGATTGACCTTGATTGACCTTGATTAACCTTGATTGACTTTGATTGACCTTGATTGACTTTGATTGGTCCTGATTGACCCTGATCGACCTTTGTAACCTACTTTTGTAACCTTGTAGATGGGTGCTGGCAGGACGGGTTATCCACGATAATGCTGCTCCATTACATTCAAACAGTCTTGCACAACAATATATTCTTCAGGAGGTCGCTCTAGGACCAGGTTAATATTCTATTCATCTATTGGACCATCATTTTATCCTTTCATTCACCCATCCCATCTTTCATTTTATTTATCCTTCTTTTCTGTTCATTGGAATCTTCCTTCATCTTTCCTTTTCTTCATCTATTCATTCCGTTTATCTTTAATTTTATTTATTCTTCATCCTTTTCAAATCATTGCAATATTCCTTCATTCATCCTTTCATTAATCCTTCATCCTATTATTCATCCATTCATCCGGCCCTTCATCTTTCATTTTATTCATCATTCATCCATTCATCCGGCCCTTCATCTTTCATTTTATTCATCCTTTTATTTTTCACTTTATTCATCATTCATCCATTCATCCCCTTCATCTTTCATCTAATTTATCCTTCATCCTTTTCTGTTCCTTTCATTCATCCGTCATCCATACTTTCATTCATCCTTCATATTTCCTTTCTCCTTTCTTTCATAGTCGTTTCTTTTCTTTATTCTTGTATTTATCCTTCATTTATTTTTTAATTCATACTCTCATCTTTCATCCTTTTTTACCTTTTATTCATTTTTAATTCTGAAGTTTTCTCATCTTTTTATTTTTTCTGTTATAGTTAATCTATTTGTTTCAATTAGAAATTTTTCACAAAGATTTCAAGGGTTTGATTATTATTTTAACAGTTTTTATTAGACAGATGATATAATATAGTGCAATCTGATTTCACATCAAGTAAAAATAATATTGATCGTTACAACATTTTTTAATATGAAATTTGAATCTTATGATACTTTTATCACATAATTACACCTTTATGTGCTTTATTTATTTTTAATGGATTATTTACTGCACATTGCACAGAGCCCTGTTTTTTATTAACTATAAAATCCGCCAAATCTTTTTTGAATAAAACGAAAATTTAATCCTTGTAAGTTTGTTCAAAAATTCCATTGAAATGCCGAGAGAAGCCCGTCAAGCTTATTATTCTTGGATTAAAACTTTTAAAAATCTAATTATGAATAAAATGCATATTTTTCTGTTCAATCCGGACTAAAATTAAAATAGATCATTATTTTTGGATCAGCTCTTAATCCAGTTTAAAAGTTAATTAAAAATCTTTTATAAATATTTGTGTCTTGTTGATATTCATTAGAAAAGATTTATATGTATGGGGAATTTGATATTCAGGACTTAATCTATATTTCCCCCTCCTCAATGGTCCTCAAATAATGGTCCTGGTCCACTTTTCCCCTACTTAATGTTTCCCCCCTCCTTTTAATGCATCTCCTCCCCCCCCCCGTCCCCATCCTCCATTATGAACCTCGTTCGATCATCATCTGCTAATAACCTTGTCTATTTACAATTACTCTTCAAACCATCCTTCCTCTTTTATAAATTTTAACCCCCTTCCCCCTCTTTATAATCCATCCTGTCCCCCCGTTAGGCCCTGACACCCCCCCCTCTCCTCACCTAACTTTTTTACCCACTTAACATTTTTAAGTTGTTCATAATCTTTCTTCTGATTTACTCCTTTGCTTTTTATAATGAAAGTGTACGAAAAATTGTTCCCGAACGTCTATTTCCTGATAATTTCAGTTTGTTTCTAAGTCATCTTTCTTTTTTTCAGATTTTGCTTTCTTCTCCCTAAATCCTCCTTTAATTCCTATTCGTTTTTCTCCTTTCATATCTTTCGTATCATATTCTTTTCTTTCCGTTCCATTCCTTTCTTCTCGTATTCCTTTCTCTCTACTTTCCCTTTCTTTCTATTCCTTTCTTTTCCTATTCTCCATCTTTCATTTCTTTTCTCTGTCTCATGTTCCTTTCTCTCTTCCATTACTTTCTACTCATGATTCTTTCTGTCCCTTGTAATAGATCTATCTTGTTAAATCTTGATTTACTATTGTGTGTCTGCCATATTTGGGCGATTTGTCATATCCTTGTCACTAATTTCCCACACCATTTTTACATGCTTTCGTCTTTTAAATATTCTCAAAATAATCAGTTCTGCACTGTTAGGTCTTTGGAACGCTTAAAAGGGGGGGGGGCAGTTCCCCCCTCATATTAAATTGTCATCTACAGCATAGCCTGTTATACATGTCAGAACGGTTTTGTTTCTATGAAATTATCTCTGTTAAATTTAAAGCAGGTCCAAATAGGAAATGAGAAAAGGAAGAAAATTTTGTATCTTGATTTTTACTCTTAATTTTTTATTGAAAATTCTTATGTTTTTAGGAAGCGTTTTCCTCTCAATCTTTTGATCCATCAACATTCTTTCCTACATACTGTTCATGTGAAAATATTTTAATTAAATTTTTTCTTGATATTCATTGATACTTTTCCAAAAATTAAATTTTTCTGCGTCTAATATTAGTTAAAGAAAACTTTTGGTGATGTTTGAGAAATTGAATTTCAACATATGTTCTGTTTTCTTTGTGATAAATGATCATGTTAAATAAAAGAAGAAATCATTCATGTAAGGCACAAAAGTTTCATTGACAACAACATCAAGTATAGTAAACAATAACAACAACACAGTTTGTACTGCAGAATGTTACATCTAACCTTCGTTCGATCTTAACTTGTCTCAGAGACATCAAATCATTTATTCTGAGCTATTGAACTGAACTAATCACACCACTCGGGGCAGAGGGCAGGGGGCATCCCCCAAAATGGAAGGCTGAGTCCCCCCCCCCTTCCCCACATGGCAGGTGGGGAATTACAGGGGGGGGATGTTGTTATCCTGTAGAGATGTAAGATAATAGAAATATCATAATCGAATTCATGACATTCTGTTATAATTTGATTCGCGGACTTCACCCCAGGCAAGAAAATTTCTAAATAACATTCGGTAGGAAGATTAAAATTTCATTACAGAAATATGATTCAAACATGTGAACGAAGTAAAAAAACACTCAAGGACCAGAGTTTTTTAATAAAACTCTATGAAAATGTTACCTTCGTTATTCCAATACAAAATCATTTCAGTAAGAAACTACAGACATTTAGTTAAATTCGATATTAGTTTATTTTCACTAATTTAATAAAACTATAGCTATAGCTGGTCAATAGGCTGAAACTTTTTTTCTAAATTGAATGAATGTTAATTTTTTATTTCATGGGGAACGCTGAGCGCTCGAGTTTGTAATAAGTATGAATTATTTGCGCGTAAAAATTAATAAGCCTCAAAAACCAAATCAGCATTATATTTATTTTGCTACAAACCAGACAACAATAGCAGGCTTTTACGCTACATTTCCTGCCATCATATTATAATCTGAGAACTTGCAAACATAATGCATGTCCTGCCGCGTTTTCTATCTTTTTTACGCTACATTTCCTGCCAACATATTATAATCTGAGAACTTGCAAACATAATGCATGTCCTGCAGCGTTTTCTATCTTATTTTTAAATTGAGAATTTTTTCAACTAGAAATTGGCACTTTTTACTACTGCATGATCATGCACATTGCAGAAACAGATGCCCCCAACTAAAATTGGATTTATTCTTAATTTAGTTCAGCCGTTTTTACAATGATGTTATTTACTTATTTGTTTGTCCCTAAGCTAAAAAAATGTGGCTCCACCGAGTTCTCAAATCAAAATTTGAGGCAATTGGGTCAATGGGTTCCTGGGTTATGATCGGACTATTTGTGTGTGTGTGTGTCCACTTTTTTGCGTCCTTGTGTTTTCTCATCTTTAAATAATTCTCGTAGAGTTCCTTACTTTTAGTAATTCTTGAAATATTTCTAAATATTCATTTGATGAGATTTTCATGTTTTAAAGGAAAGGAGAGAACAGATTTTATGTCAGGCAATTATCCAGCATGATATCATCTTATAATCCCAACCATAATATTTTAATAATAATTAATCTAATTTTATTTATCTCATTTTAAATTATGTTTCTCCCCTCTCCCCACGCTTAGAATTTTCCTTGTCAACTTGTCATCAAGAGATATAATTTTCTTTTCCACCCTTTCTCCACACATAAATGTAGAATATATTGTAGTTTTTCTAGGTTTAAAAGTGTTTAATTCTGTTAAATCCAATGTTTTCCTGCAGTAGAAGTGCGTAAGTCACCTAAGTTTATAAACCACAGTTGAAATAAGCTATTGCCATCTTTGCATGGAGGGCCACTTAAAATTACGCGAACAGTCTGTTTTAAGAAAAGATATTTTAGAGCAATGAGAGTAGAGCGGGGGTTGAGGGAGAAGGGTTTGTGTAAACTAGTTTTCATGTTTAACAATAACAAACTTTGTAAACCAGGCACTTGTCATATTGACTGGATTAACATTATTGTGTTTATCAAATATTTTTTGTTTTCAAGAAACATTGTCTGTCCTATTCCCCTCACTATGGTTCTATTATTCCTTGGTTCACTCTGCAGGAATACTATTCCCCTCTCCTAGGTTCTATTACTCCTTGGTTCCCCCCCTGTATAGATTACTAGTAGAACTAGGAGTAAGTATGGTTCCCTCTGTATAGAATACTATAACTAGGAGTAAGTATGGTTCCTCCTGTATAGAATACTAGAACTAGGAGTAAGTATGGTTCCCCCTGTATAGAATACTATAACTAGGAGTAAGTATGGTTCACCCTGTATAGAATACTATAACTAGGAGTAAGTATGGTTCCTCCTGTATAGAATACTAGAACTAGGAGTAAATATGGTTCCCCCTGTATAGAATACTAGAACTAGGAGTAAGTATGGTTCCTCCTGTATAGAATACTAGAACTAGGAGTAAGTATGGTTCACCCTGTATAGAATACTAGAACTAGGAGTAAGTATGTAAAGTATGGAGGTAGTGCTACCCTCTTGTTTGCTCCAGGATCCAATTTCAGTTCAGATTTTCCCAAAGCTTGGACAATTCAATCAGGGATGTGCACTTGAAAATGTAGGGGCCTCCCTCCCCTCCCTTTATGTTAAAATTTAGAAAAGGTGTGTATTATTTCACCTCTTAAATTTTGTTTTAATTACAACGCTCTTATACTTTTTTGTATCGTAACCCAGTTGGAAAATGAAAGTTTTAGTTCTAAAATTGTTAATGAGATCAATGTCTAATTCTGCCCCCCACCTCTCCCATCCCGTAAACAAACTTTGTGTGATGCCCCTGAATTCAATTCTAGATAATGTTCTTTTCTTTTCAATGTACTCAAGACAGTTGTAAATATTAGCTTTTATTTAGGTTTACCATTCACTCATTCATTTACTCATTCACTTTACTCATCCTTGCATGTATTTACTCATCCTTGCATTTATTTACTCATTTACTCATTCTTCCTTAATTTACTCATGAACTCATACCATCTTCAGTTGCTCATCCTTTCATTTATTATTAACTCATCTTTACTTTCCTTCATTCATCCTTTCATTCATTTACTTATTGTTTCTTTAATTTACTCATCCTTTTCACTCACCCCTTCATTCATCCTTTCATTCATTTACTTATTGTTTCTTTAATTTACTTATCCTTTTTACTCACCCCTTCATTCATCCTAACATTCATTTACTTATTGTTTTATTATTTACTCATCTTTTTTATTCACCCCTTCATTCATCCTTCCATTCATCCTTATTTTTTCTTTTTATCTTTTTTTTTCTTTCCGTAATTCTATTTTAAGTAAGTTAATGTTAATTTACCAAAAAAAAATATTTTTCCAGAACATCAAAAATTATTTCCCCCACCCCCCAGCCAGGGAAATGTAATTTGTGAAAATCTATACCCCTGTGGAACAGATTTTATAGTTTTTGATATTTTTTGTTTTCTTCAATTTTTTAAAAATAATTTCTGTTTCTTTTTTAGGCGGAATAGAGCGAAATATCTCCTTGACAATTACTAACGTTAAATCGGCGGATCAAGGCGACTATAACTGTGTGGCGATAAATCAAGGCGGAATGGCGGAGAAAAATATAACTTTAACATTCGCCCACCCTAACACCTGGCCAGGTAATAAAATAAAAAATAATTAGGCAAATAAAGTATTGCAATTTTTGTAATTTTATTCGCTTAACTCAATTTTAGCATCAAACCCCCCGTAAGAAAATGCATAATTCGCCAACATTTAAATAATCTCTATTTAAATGGCTTTTATCTACAGCTTCTCTTTGTCAATACATCTATCTATATCTATCTATTTACTAAACTGTCTATCCTTTCATTTATTTCTCTATCTATCAATCTAATGTATGTTAATGTTCTGTTGAGTTCCAAGTTTCATTTGATATTAGGTCCAAGTAAATTTCTCCCCAAATCGCCGAAAATCACTTCATCAAAAATGTCGTAAAAATAAATGGATTTAAACTTTTGATTATTTCCTAATGGAGGGGCTTACAAAATTGATATTAAAGTTTTTTAATCCCAAATTGTGTGAAAACAATAATTTCAAAAATGTTTTGATCTAGAAGACGTGGGAAGGATAAGACAGGACACACTCATAATGGTAGTTTACTCGCCTATTCTGATCCTGCAGGGGAGAAGCTTCTTCATCAGGGGACACTTCCCAGGTATACAGGGGCACACCCATCAGAGGTGTACACAGGGGGGGAGGCTGAGACAGGGTCTGTCTAGGATTAATTTGGGTGCACATTGTACACCTATTTCAACCAGGTTTTTTAAACCAAAAATTAAAAAAATATGCTATAGAAAAAATGCAAAAAGCCACAATTTTTACTCCACAAATACAATCAAAGCTAACAAAATATGCCACAAACAGCAATTAACAGGGAAAAAAATTCAACAAATTATGTTTTCTCCTGAAAAATATGCCCAAACTGCCATAAAATTCAGAAAATTTGTCACAGACAGTAACTAAAAGCATGAACAAATGCCACAAGGTATACCAGTCACTCCTGTACTGAATTAATTGTGTTATTGAGTTCTGTTAGTTCTGATAGTTCTGCTAAGGGTGAACGCACAAATAAGTCTGTCATCATCTTCACCGACACGCTCCATTTTGCAAAAAACTGTCACAAAGTAAAAATCTGCCACAAAATGGAAGCACTACACCTGCTACAAAAATCCTAGATGAAACCCTTAGCTGCAGCCCCCCCCCCCCATCTGAAAACCCTTTGGTTTCCAGGGGGTTTTAAGGGTTTAAAGGGTGCTGATACCCTTGGAAGGGAAACAAGTTTATGCTCCCCCCAGAACTAATACCTGTGTAGTGTGTACCCCCTTGGGACCCATAAAACTGGGGACTAAGAAGCAGCGTTTCGGATCCGGATCCGTATCATTTGGTCGGATCCGGATCCGGATCCGTATCCGTATCAGGAAACGTTGATATGGATCCGGGTAGCGGCAAAAATTAACCAAAACCATGGAATAAATAAATCAAAATGGTTCGTAAATGTATTATTTACATGACGAAAATTTTTCAAAATTATCTTTAATAATTTAATGTTTACATTTATATAATAGTAATGACGACATTTTTAACTTTAGGATTACTATAGTTTATAAATTATAACCTTGCATAACATTTAATAGGGAAAATCCGATTCACAGAATCATAAGTTACCTCGGATCCGGATCCGTATCAGAGTCAGGATCCGGATCCATCATCACGGATGCGGATCCGGATCCGGATCAAAATGATACGGATCCGAAACACTGCTAAGAAGAATTATTATGTTATTTTCCTTAAAAAGTTAATCTATAGCTCATGGTACAACTTTTTGTTTTTTAACAACATTGTCTTTAAAATTCGCTATAATTTGTTTGCAAAAAATCCAGTGATCTATGTAAGTAGGAGGCAGAATTTTAAAAAGTATTATTTGTTTTACTTCGTTTTAAGCCGGGAATTTTCTAATCGTGTGTATCGAGATTCAGCATTGATATCGATCTTTTAATCTATATTAAAAGTAATCTATATTCTATAAACTAGTAAAGTGCCGAAAATTTAACCAATCCGAGTGTCGGTATTTGAAAAAAGAACAGCAAATTAGAAGCATGGGAATTATGTGCTTAACCAATGAGAGAACGGATAATTATGGTATCCATAATCAAGTGAAAAAGCAGATTCTGCTTAAAATTCATACGTGTCCAATGTGGATATCGAGATCAACCGATCGGGATTATAGGTATCCAACACATAGGTTCCCAGCTCTGATTTGATAAATATCATTTTTTTAATTATTTAACCCTAAATTTCTGTTTAGAACTAATCCTCTACCAAAACCCCCTCGTGAGTACAGTATGCTGCCCCCCTCGGAGCAAGAATTAGCCGAGTACGGTCCGGCTAGTTATGTACCCGGAGATAGGTTAGTACATGAGCAAAGTTTATATGTCATAAGAATTTCTTTGATAAAATCCTTAGTTTCTGTAAAATTGTCAGCTAAACTTCAAATAATAAGTTTAAATAAGTTTAATATTAACAGTAAGCTAATTTGGGAAGGGGGGGGGGTATCAGCGTCCACCCTCCTCCCGTTGAACTTCTGTATCTTTTAAAATCTGACTAACTGCTAACTATGTAGAAAGGGTGAGGGTTGTCCCTCTAGATTATATTTCATTTAAATTCTCTCCATGATGAAAGTGAATTCAACTAAACCTGAATTTGCTTAAATTTAATATTAAAAGTTTCAAGTCAAAACTATTCCAACATCTGGGGATATAGACTAGTCTGAAGGTTTACAGTCGACTGTAAAAGGTGTACATGCAATGTGTGTTCTCAGAATAACTTGCAGTTCTGTATTGTTGAAAATTTGAGGAGAAACCTTCAAATTTTGAGAAAATCTGCCTTTTTTGGATTTAGACCTGCCAGTTTAACTGTAGAACATTTTTAATATACAATTCATGTACATACTACATAGTCTGCATTGTGAATGTTACAAAAGTTTACTTTTTGTGTTGTATATTGTACTTCATGTACAGTACATTATACTGCATGTATTGTTCAATGTAAAGATGGTAATGCCTGATTTACAACGGTACTCTCGAAACTTTAATCTTAACAAAAATTGATTCGGGCAGTGCCATCTTTGCAAATTATGTATTGTACATTGTACTTCATATTTTGTACATTGTACTTCATGTATTGTACATTGTATTTCATGTATTGCACATTGTACTTCATGTATTGTACATTGTACTTCATGTATTAAACATTGTACTTCATGTATTGTAAATTGTACTTCATTTATTGTACATTGTACTTCATTTATTGTACATTGTACTTCATTTATTGTACATTTTACTTCATGTATTGTACATTGTACTTAATGTATTGTACATTGTTCTTCATTTATTGTACAGTGTACTTAATTTATTGTACATTTTACTTCATGTATATTGTACATTGTACTTCATGTATTGCACATTGTATTTCATGTTTTGTACATTGTACTTCATGTATTGTACATACTTAATGTATTTTACATTGTATTCATTTATTGTACATTGTACTTCATTTATTGTACATTGTACCTGCAGGGTATCGTTGTAAATCGGACATTGCAATTTTTTGCATGCAGGGTCACTTGAAAGTACGCTTACAGTCCTCGTAGTAAATTCTCAAAAAATATTGTTTCTCATACTGTTCTGTTTGAGAAAATAACGAGAATGATGTCAAGGTTATTCTATTTCAAGTCCCTGATATACATGTGTAAGCTAAACAATGCATTAATAATTAATGCAACACAGTGCATTTAATGCCTAGGAGCTGTAGGATTGCATTGTTGCCAGGTTAAAAGGCCGAATCAGATTAATAAAACAAAGTTTAATTATTTTAATAAGATCAAATATGTAATGTTACCTAAAACTTGAAAATTAACGGATCATTTAACGTTACTTAGAACTTGATAATTAACAGATCATTTAACGTTACTTAGAACTTCATAATTAACAGATCATGTAACTTTACCTAAAACTTGATAATTAACAGATCATTTAACGTTACTTAGAACTTGATAATTAACAGATCATGTAACTTTACTTAGAACTTCATAATTAACAGATCATTTAACGTTACCTAGAACTTGATAATTAACAGATCATTTAACTTTACCTAAAACTTGATAATTAACAGATCATTTAACGTTACTTAAAACTTGATAATTAACAGATCATGTAACTTTACTTAGAACTTGATAATTAACAGATCATGTAACTTTACCTAAAACTTGATAATTAACAGATCATGTAATGTTACCTAAAACTTGATAATTAACAGATCATTTAGCGTTACTTAAAACTTGATAATTAACAGATCATTTAACGTTACTTAAAACTTGATAATTAACAGATCATGTAACTTTACCTAAAACTTGATAATTAACAGATCATCTAACGTTAGCTAAAACTTGATAATTAAGTTCTATTTGTTTCAATTAAACCTTAGCGGCTAATAAAGGAAATTTTGTTGTACAAATTTTTTTTTTTTACAAATATTAACATTTTCTAAAAAAGGGCAAAAAAATCGAAGAGAAAGGCATTTGTACTGTCAGTTAGATAATGGAAAAAATTTTTAAATATTTACATAGAATCTGAACAATTTAGATAAATTACTGGGCTGTAAAAAAAATGTTAACTTTTCTAAGAAAGGGGGTTATGCAATTACAGTCATGTAGTTGTAAAATCAGTTCTTTTATTGAAATATTTATGTTTGTCAATTTTAAGGTGATGTAATCCAAACCAAGAATTTACCTTTTTGTTTTGTTTTATCACTCTAGTAGTTTTCCTGGGTTCGTAACCTACTTTTAAACAGTCCTAATTTATTCAGTTCTAACCTAAATCTGTAGATTTTTTTTAATGCTAGCGATAACATCCACATTGATTTCTCCAATGTTAGTTATTTTAAAGTTGATTGTAGACTTAAAATTTAGACCTTGGAAAGAACAGAATATACTTTATTAGATATATTAGATTATTGGGAAGAAAAAAAGATTCCTACGAAAAATATTCTCTGTATATAAATCTATGAAATGTTCTGTTTATATAATGTCCTATAAATGAAATGTCTTCTCATTTAAACTGTCTATGAAATGTCCTGTCTAAGTATGAAATATCCCATTTAAGAAAAGTCCTGTTAATGAAATGTCCTTTCTTTGAAATGTCCTTTCTATGAAACGTCCTATCTTTGAATGGTCTATCTCTAAAATGTCCTGTTAATGAATTGTCATATCTTTGAAATGTCCAGTCTATGAAATGTCTTATCTACAAAATGTCCCAAACCCAAAAATAAGATTATTTATGATTATATATTTCTGTGGCGTGATTCTAATCAAAAGCTTTCCAGAGTGTGTTCGACACTTGTAAACAAACTTAATTAATCTCCAATATTTCCTATTTATCTAGGGGTATACAATCTTTATTATTTATATTTTAAAATCAACCTTATGAGAATATTTAGGACTTTAAACTGAAGAAATGTTTTTAAATAAATTAGAGGGTTGGTTTGGGGTAGAAAAAATCGTTTATCAATTGGCAAATTTTTTATTATACTTCACACGGTTAAAAAACATCAGTTTTTCCTCAAAATTATTTATTTTCCAAAGGAATTGAGTCTTTGCCACAAACTCTGATCTTCGAATATCTATATTTTATCAACCAAATGTTATAGACGTAAAATATTTCAAAATATGAATTTTATTATGTAAAATAATCAAGTTTGAAATATCCAAGGAACCCTTCAGATTGAAAAGTTGTAGGTATAATAAAATTTAAGTTTGTGGCAAAGACTCAATTCCTTTAGCGGAGAAATCTCCTAAAACCCCATTCCTAACATACCTAATGAAATAGGATTTTTAGGGGGGGGGGGCGAATAATTAGTTTTTTTATCCGTGTTGCATTGTATTTCTCAACATTTCTCTTTTTGTCCCTGCGGTGGAAATTGTTTCAATTTGTCTCAAAATCCATTAATTTCATTATTTGCAATTGTTATTTTGTAATTTTCTTTTTTAACAAATAAAATGTAGACTGTTCGAGGAACTGAAAAAACGAGGGGGAAATTAAACTAAGTTGTTATTTTGTTTCCAAATATTGAAGTACAGACTAAATTAATTTAGAATTTAACTATCATGTTTATCCGTCTACCAGCAATGTATAAATCTACCTACCTTATACATATATCTATCTATTTATTTACCAATCTATGCATTTAGCAATATATCTATCCGTCTACCTTTATAGATTTTTATCCTAGTAATCTATTTATTCATCTAGCTATGGTTCCATCTATCTCTTTGTTCATATCAATTTATCCAGCAATCTATATGTTCATTTTTCAATCTATCCAATCTAAGTATTTATCTAGCTATGTGTCGCATCTATCTATTTAACTATATACCCAGCCATCTTTCATCTAGGGATATCTCTATCTATACTTTATTAATCTATTCATCTATTTATGTATATCAATATATAAACGGAAACATGGAATGTACTCTTATGATTGAGTGTGTCTACAGTTGGGTTCCATTTATATAGAGTACAGGGGGTATATAAATAGTTAATTTTATTTATACAGGGTGAATACAGGATTTATGTCTTCTTCGTTATAATAAAAATCAATTGAATAGGTATAGAAATATTTATTGAACATTGTACATTGTACTGTGTACACTGTTCAGGATTTATTAAGTATTTACTGATATGCATACAGGGTTACATTTGGAGGTTTTTTTTTATATCTTAACTGAAAGTGAACATATCAAAGTCAAGCATGGAGAACATGCCTTGAAGTCAATTAAGGATAGAAATTTATGTATTATTTTTACCCCATACAAAGTTGATTTTTATTCATTGAAATTTAAAAATGAACATGGGAGTTGTCTGATGTTAAATCCTAATCATTTAATCCAGTTTTTCTGGCACGAAATTTCATTCATTGCTAAAAGAATAATTTTTGCAAAAAAATATCTCCTGTCTATGTTTCATATTGAAAATTATTGATAAATTTTCTGTCCTTTTCAAACGTATATTTATATCAAAACTTTAAAGTCATTATAAAGAAAGAGGATTAGGATTTCTTTATCAGGTTCTGACAATAATAATGTTTTGTCGATATTTAAAAATCTAAAATAAAAAAGATTTTTTAAAAACAAATTAAGTTTTGTTTTGTTTAGGTATGATGAGTACGGAGAGGGGCGGACAAGTGCGAGTAACTCTGATCAGACTGGAACCTTATCCAGGAACTCTTATCATTCATCAGACCCGGAGCAGTGTCCTGACCTTCTAGATATTCCAAATAGGTACATTTTGAACAATCAAAAATTGACGAAAAGAATTTGATGGATATCTTTAAAAATCAAATTTTTTAGGTTTAAGCATGCGAGTCCTACAAGCATCTTTACAGCGCCTCTTCCTCCAATTCCTTTCAACCCCCATCATCCTCATCAACCCCTTCACCCTCATCACCTAGTCTCACCTCCTCACATGCATCATCATACTTCTCCTTTCCAGCGTACCGGTACACTTCCTCATAACTACACAATGGGCACTCTACCCCATCATCCCAGATCTGTCTCATGTGATCATTCGGCCCAGGCTAACCAGGCGCGACCAGGTTACGTCACTCTACCCCGTCGGCCCCGCTCGTCTTGGGCCGGGGTCCGGGATGGACCGGCACGGGACACCCCGTCGCCTGTTTCTTCCTTCAGGGACCCGATCTACGACGGGGTGGGACCTCGGACGTCGGCCGATGGGAGCAGTAAGCTGAGCCTTAACAGATCCATGGACCATACTCCACGGGCAATTCCGAATGGGCGTGTACCAATAAACGGGACCTCCCTGCCGCCGTATATCCCGCCGATTGACGAGTCTCCAGAAATAAAATCTTCGAAACCCCTACGTGTATCTCATGCAGAGGAGGTAATATTTTTCTTTTTTCATGTTGAGATATTTTCAGATGTCCAGGTTTTTATGAGAGATTGTGAGAGTGGGTCCGAATCCCTTCTATATAAATCCCCGCACACTTAATATAAACCTTATTAGTATTCTGCTCGGTTTTCTTTTTGATAGAATTTATTTTATTTATCTGGTGCTGGAATGGAGATTGTAGGGTTGCATTACTTGAAATATTATTAGAAATCGTCGGACGCCAAATCATAAGGCTTTCATTTCATTAGTCCAAAACAAATTCGTATTTTTTTTTTAAATATTTAAATTGTACTTGGACAAATCAGAGTTGCGCTTTGCTGTACATGGTTACCCACAAATTATGAGATTGTAAAGACGACATGAAAATCATGACGATCCCAAGGTTAGGTTAGTTCTTCGGTCTTGATTATAGTCTTTTATAGGCTTTTAAAGGATTTGGTAAAGAATGAAAGAAGTTTTGACAAGGTAATTAACAGTATAAATTCCGTACAGTCGTCTTTGAAGTCTTATGCTTTGTGGGTAACCCTGTACAAGGCAAGGGGGATAATATTTTAGTTCTGAAAATGTTGGCGAGTTTAGCATTAAAAATAAAATTTAACGGGCCAAAAAAATTTATTTGCATCCGATTATAATATATTTGCTTTAGAATCAATAGATAAATTGATTCAAATAATTTTTAATTCATTCTGATAAACTGATTATTGAGTACGACTCTTGGATCAAATTGATTAATTGATTATTTTATTGATTTGCATGATTGATTTATGGATGAAAGCTTGAAGAGAATAGAGGGGTGAGGCGAGGATAGCTCTTGGATCAAATTACAATCAAGTTTGATTCTAATTCTGAAACTTTAATTAGTTTCCTTCGTACT